TTTTCTCTTTAATCTGTGATATTCTAGATCTCTAGGCGTCTCGTTACTCAAACATTATAAGAAAAACAAAATGCAAAAAAATCGTTACGGAATTTCACTCCAGTAGCAGAGATGGCTGGCCAGAGCGCTAAGTAATTTTTACCTAAAAAATGTCGTTATGTCCCTGTTACGGAGTCAATTGTTAATATTCACGATCCTGAGGTGCAAACTGTCTTGGCTGTCCTTGTTGTCTTGCCGCTTCCGGTTGTCGCATCGGTTCCATTCGTCTGAGCGACTCATATTGTTCCATTGGTATAGTATATACCGTTGGAATCTGAGGAATTTATTGCTGTTGATGTGCCAACATCATCTTTCGTAATAAGATCAACTTTTTTAATTTGCTTGTCAGAGCGAATTTTACAGTAACATATGACAATATGAGGGCGACTACCACAATACACATGACTAATGTAATATCTCGCCAGGTCGGATGTACCCGGTCAACGTCTTAAAGTGGTTTTTTATGCTCCTTTATGCGTCTGTCTACTTCATTATTGATAACCACATGTAACGTCTCTTTATGTGTAGCATCTGCATTCTGCACCGTCTATGCGTGAGAGTCATCTTTATTACCTCCAAAAAGCATGTTCAATTTTTATCCCATGATCAACAATATACATGAATGAACGAATGGAAGGAAAATTTTCCAGTATAGAAGTAATGATTTGGTGTTAGCCAGGCTTGGTATTATGCACCACTCTTCTTATCACTAAATATATTTCACGTATCGTCGAGAACATTCTTGGCCTCAAGAGTCCTCTTTTTACTCCTTGCAATATTGAAGGTGAGAGTTTCTTCTGAATTAAAGTTCTTGCTAAGTTCGGCGTTAACCGATAATCTGCCATTCATTTCAGAGTTAACGGGGTGTCGTTAAATATCCGTCTCCATTCTTCGTATATTACGAGCACTATTCGTGGGTGAATAGGTGTATACGATAAATGGAATAGGACATCTCGATTCGAATTTCGAACAAGAGCAGCCAAGATAGTTTGCATGCTAGAATCGTGAATATTAACGACTGACTCCGTGACAGGAATATAACAACATTTTTTAGGCAAAAAATTACTCTGACAAGTAAAAAAATAAGTAGCAGATAAGTGCGCATTCCAATAGATCAACAGAACGAAAACGAGTGCACATTCCGTCATGCGCAGAACGATCAATCACCAGAACATCGAAAGACATTCCATTCCATTACATCATTGTTTTTTTATCTATAATTTTTCTTTTTAATATATGAAACAAGAGGCCTTTCTATTCATTTCATACAGTTTTTTGTTAACCTCTGAAGAGGAATTCGAAATCGGTCAGGGTAATAAAATATAAAGAAAACAAATCACTCATTGTTATTATCTCACAACAGTTCAATCGTCGCAGCTACAAAAACACATACACTACGCATCTCTTCTTATAACTGAATGGGACATATGAGTCTCAATTTATCAATAAATTACTGTAAGTTTTCTTTCGAAAGATGGTAGCTTCACAAATCGAATCATTTCTAATAACTTTCACATCCAGATATAATAAACAATTGCGAGATTCCATTTCGTAAGTAAACTATATATCAGAATAAACAGAGTTCAGAAGTTTTAATATATTAATTGTAGAAGCATTCAGTTTTAAGTGAGGAAAAGTATCGTCAACGTATCTAGTATAAAATAACACACCTACTTGATTTAATTCGAAGAGTATAAGATGTTCGAGATACGCCGTAAAGATATTAAGTAGGATGGAAGCCATATTAGATAGCCTATTACTAATTCATTAATTTGTCCACTGAAGAAAAAGTGTATGTCACTTGTCGCAGTGCGAAGAAGAAACTCCATGTCTTTTCGATCTTGGCAATTTGAACATAGTTTAGACTTTTTACTGCATTCAATTCTGCATTTGTTATTCAATGGATAAAACTTGTCTAACATTGAATTTACGTGTAATCCATAGTACCTTTGTGTATAAACCGGTAAATTTAGTATTAGACAAGCTTTATCCATCCATTGAATAACAAATGCAAAATCAAACGCAGTAAAAAGATAGACACAACGAAAGTAATTTCTCTTTTAAGGAACTGATGTGTTAGTATTTTCCAGTCGTAAAGATGAAGATTAAAAAATTCATAAAATGAGTAAGGAAGTAATTAATAGGATGATGTAATAAGATGCGAAGCGTGCATTCAGAAATTTTTATGATATTATACTTTGTTTTCTCACCGTTGACACTGTATTTCGTAGATGATGAATATTAATTTGGCCAAAATATTTTCGTTATTGTTGATTTTAATTTGGACACAAGAGCGTTTATTGGCGCTAAAAGCAAAATTACTTGCTACTCATGTGGTAGTACTTGGAGACAAGTTTTTTTCCAATATATCATGCAAGTACTATTGTTCTGTTTGTAGCTGTATCGACATGGTGATCGAACACCATCTGGAACTTTTGCAACAAATACTGTACAGGAATCATTTTGGCCTAATGGGTATGGACAATTAACAAAATTGGGACAAATGCAAAGCATTAAACTAGGCTCGTATGTACGTAAACGATACCAAAATTTATTAAATTCTACTTATATTGCAAATGAAGTAAATTTATGTTAATTTAATTCGCTTGAGCTAAAAATTTATCTTGTATATCTTTTTTTATAGATTTATATTCGTAGTACAGATACGGATAGAACATTGATGTCCGCATATTGTAATCTATTAAGTTTATATCCAACATTAGAAATTAATGAATCTTTAACAATGGAAATGCCTTCAATGTTAGTACCATGGCAACCAATACCAGTTCATACTCTGCCAAGATCAATCGATCATGTGAGCTGAGTGTTATTCATGTGAAATAAACGAATCATACTAATTAATTTGTAGCTACTTGCTGCCAGTAAATGTCTGTCATATGAACAATTAATTGAGGAATTAAGACAGAGCGATACAATAAAAGCCATAAACAACAAATTTAGCGTAAGTTAACCTTCAAAATATAATTTTTCCTGTCAGTATGCGAGTGAGGAATGACATGTAATGGTAGACAAGCTGCATCAGTTATTTTACCGTCTAATAAGACAGAAATTGTTTAGAAAAAAACACTTTGATCATCCATCTCCTTATCCGTGCAGTATTTTTCTAGACTACCCAACAACTGTGTAATTAAGTACGAAAACCAAGTCTCTATGCTACAATACAGAAAAAGCCTAATTACGAAAAATCGAGAGCCATCGTAAAAGAGTAGCTTTTAGTTCCGTATGTTATGCAAGGGAGAAACAGCACATTGAGTTTCAAAACAACGTTTTTCGCGTGCTTCTGCTTTGACTACCACTAATAAAAGTCACTAATTTCATGAGTAGTACACACCGCAACGAACTATACAATACACGCTGATCTGAAACTTTTCATAAAGTCTAATAAGTCACATTTGTTATCCAAGACTTGAGGTTTCGAAAAGGTCTCAGAAAAAGCAATCAGAACCACTTAATATATTATAGATCCATTAAATGCAATGACAACAAAACAAGTTTTCGCCGAAACGGAACAATTTCAAACAGTAAAACTTTCAAAATATTTTAGTCAACGATAAATAAACACATAATTGTAGTTTTATCGAATTTATTATTTCACGCGTATATTTGTCATTATCATGCACAAAGGCCTGAAAATCCTTGAAGTCTGAGTCTTGTGGATGAATACTAATATCAGTAGAAGAAAAATTGATAGAACTCGAAGAGTCTATAATTTCGGAAAACCCTTTACTTTTAAAAAAACTCTAATGTTTTTTCTTCTCGTGCTTCTTGCGTCTTTTTCGGATTTAGGATTAAAAACTGAGTATGAGAATGTTGCTTGATCGAGGGTGAGGTCAAAGGCTTATTCAGTATGGGCGTCTTGGACTCCTGCTATAAAGTTCATAAACAGTTTTGCAAACTCATCTAGTTTTCTGTGAAGAGACAAAGCCCATTTTTGTACTTCATTAGAACTGACATTAAAAGAGCTTCTAAAGTGCAGATCGCTTTTTTTTCACTATGCTTTGTCACTGAGAAAATTCATGGTTCCTAGATCAGGAACCATGAGCGCAAAAAAACGGAATTCTGCCCGTAAATCTCAGTTTCCCTCATCAGCATTCAAGTTTTATAGTATAAAAATATCATATTCGGAGTCAAAGCTGAATCGAATGGCTTCGAAGCTTTTTATTGATTTCCATTATTTTGTGAAAATTGCAGCAATTTTTCCACATGAAAATTTAAAAAGCTCAAAGTAGTCGGATAGATTAATAAAGTAAATTATTCGATTTAGTTTGTGACGTGGATTCCGAATATGATACTTTTATAGTATAAAACTTGAGTGCTGATGTAGGAAATTGAGAATCATAAGCAAAATTCCGATTTTTACGCTCCTGATAACATGAATTTTCTCAGTGACAAAGTACAATGGGAGAGAAAGCGATCTATACTTTTAAAACTCGTTTAAATGGCGGTTTTAATACATTACACAAATCGGAAATGGAAAATGAAGTACAAACGTTTGTCTGTTCAATCGTGTATATGTGGTTTTATTTAATTTTATTAATGTTTGTATTTATTGAGGAAGATTGAACTACTATCGATCCATAAATACAGTGCAGAGTGGCGTTTTTCGAATAACTTTTTATGGAAAAGTCCTAGCGATCTACGGTTTTTACCATCGTGTAGAGGACGATTTTTGCCCTTAGAAAATAGTAAGCCCCACAAGGTGCACCACCTGTAGGTGGTAAGCCTTATCGATCTTTGAAAGAGTAGGTTGCCGAACCAAGAAAAAAAAAGCAAAAGGCTCGAACCACTAGATCTTCCCCTACAAATCCGCGAAAGAACCAAATCGCTATCTCTAATCATTCGGGCAGGGTTCGGATTTTTTGCGGACCTGCCTAATCCCCTAATTTCTTCCTTGGAAAGTTTTGAAAACACTCGAAACAT